TCTCTCTCTCTCTCTCTCTCTCTGCAATCAAATACTCTATTGTGTTGTAAAACGTTTACCGAAAGAATGTATTGCAAAAAGTTTTGTCGATTTCTTTTAAGCCTCACTTTTATCTCTCCCTTAGAGATAGGAATCAGTGCTAAAACTCGTACTAAATATACAGAAAAATAGGAAAAACTTGCGATCACTTCAAACACCACTTTAAATATTTGAAATATTGTACCAAAAAAAACGGCAAAAATTTTTGTATGCGATTTAGGACTTAATATTCACGACAGATATTGAAAAATGTTTGAAACAATAGACAAATAATGATATTTTCATTACCGAGTAATCCTCTGTCGACTTCAAACTTCTTGTTAGTGTACATACACTCGAAGGCCACCACATGAAAGACCCGATTCAACGTGTTATGTGTGCCCACGAGTCGTATATATTTGGCCACTCGGGCCGGGAAGTAGAGGTACTGCCACGAGCGGCACAGGTATCCCGTGTGATCGATCACTCGGAGCCAATCCTTTTGATCCATCGAGATCTCGATGTAATAAGAATAGGCTCTCATGTCTTTGTCCCATAAGAGGACACGGATGTGATTGATAATGCACTGACGGCCCAATTGGATCAGTATTCCCTGTCCGGAGGCCTCGTCGATGTGGTGTCGAGTGAAGCCTTTTTCCATATCGTAGTTATGATTGTCGCCGTCCAATAGTGAGGCCCTGTTCTCGCCGTTCAGCACTTGCGAGTTGAACCGACCGCAGGCCACGTTCACTTCGGGCAACAGACAGCCCCTATACTGTAGGTCTGTATCGCGCGACTCGTTCTTCGCCTGAATCGCGTCCAGTATGGCGTCCGGATCTACTAAACCCGATGTCCGCACAACCGATAGCAAGTCGTTGACGGAAATCAACGACAGCCGTATGCAAGACATGATATCGCGTACAGTTTCGGGCGAAGAGTTACACAACGCCTGATTCCGTTGCGTCCATTCGCTGACCGCTCGAAATATGTCGATCTCTTGGGCGCAGAACGAGTCCCGACTGATCATCTCTTTAAGAGTGGCGGCCGATAGGGCGCAGAAGTTGTCGCTTCGGATCACGTCCAGCGCCTGGCGGTCAACAAACGCGCGGCACACGTCGGCCAACGGCTTCAGAAGGAACAGATTGGCCGTATCGTAGATGACACACACGTTACGTATGGACAGCGTGTCCTTCAGGTACTCACAGATGGACTCTTCCAGCTCTAGGAAGCCGTACTCGTGTGAGAGGCCGAAGATCTCCAAAATGATCTCCTCTTTGAAGCTCTTGAGCTGAATGTGTCCGCAATACAGATATTTCAGCAGATATTTGAACGCCTGAACCGACGATACGGTGAGTCGGACCTCCTTTTCGGTGGACTCACGCATTCCTCCGTAGAGAAGGGCCCGAAAGTAGTCACTCCGAGCGGCCAGTAGTACGCGATGTGCGGGCAGTCTCTGGTCGTCCACCAGAAGCGTAATGTCGCTAAAGGTTTCGCTGAGATAGAGGGCCGACAAGTTGTCCGACAGTTGCGAAATGTGGTTCACTTCGCCGGCCATCAGAGCGATGGTCGGAACGCAATCGCCGGCACCGCCGACGCCGCCGGTCGTCGCCGCCATTTCGCTCGACTTCGGGTGACTATCACTCATTGGATGTGTTCGTCGGACACCACTGTCTTCGGGTCCCACAGATACACACCACCAACCGATCGGTCAGACCAGTTGGCCAATGGGTTCAGTCAATCAATCAGCGGTACGTCCGGTGGTGTCTTCGCTACCGATGAAACCGTCTATGAATGAAGTATTTTTGGCCGCAATTATCAACACTTTTGTGTTAATTAGTTATAAATGAGTCGTTAATTAAAACGGCGTTAAAAATAATAACATTTTAATCAATGGTTTGTTTGGCTTTTTTGTGAGCAAATGTCAGATGTTTTGGCCATTCATTTGTCAATAATATAAATAAACACTCGCTTTCAGTGCATAGCATAGCAAATGGCCGTCAATTACGGCCGCAAACACTGTTTGCCACGAATTGGTGTCACTCTATGCGAGTCTATGGCAATAGCGTAGGGGTTCTCCCATTGGGGGACACGTTATGTGTGGACGTAATTGATGTGCAAATAGTGTGATGTGTTGTATGTGTTGTGAGTCACACATAGAGTGTATGCAAAACAAGACATCAAAACTAATTAATTGTGTTTTTATTGATATTTAATTGTTTTTTAATTGATTATCCATTTTCTCATCGATCGTCTCATTTGATCCACTCTTTGGCCCTTCCATTGCCAAGTCTTCGGGAGCTATAGTCAGCCATCAAAGTATTGTACACATCATTGATAAGTGAGAGACACCGGAAGAATATGTCGACAAGTTTTACGGTTCGCGAGCGGCAGAAGAGTTGAGTATTATATCCTATGGATCTGTTGTACCACTCATTGTCTTAACTGTCTGTTTGTTTTCATTCCTCCGCAGATGCCATGAAAGCCATACTGAATCTGAACGCAACGGTCAACGGGAGTACAGCGGCGACGGGCGCCGCATCGGAACCGGTTTGGAAACTCTTCATATACGACCGGTGCGGACAAGACATCGTTTCGCCACTCTTTTCGGTCAAAGAGTTACGCGAATCGGGTATTACTCTTCACATGTATGTATCGACAGAGCCATCACTTCATTGTTAGACCATTGATCTGATCTCTTAACTAATGTATGTTTTATATCTCTCACAAAACCCACCACTGATTACAGGCAACTACACTGCGATCGGGACCCGATTCCAGACGTGCCGGCCGTCTATTTCCTGCTGCCGACCGACGAGAATGTGATGCGAATCTGTCAGGACTTCCGGAACCAACTCTACGACCACTACTATCTGAACTTCATTAGCCCGATATCGCGCCAGAAGTTGGAGGACTTGGCCTCCGCGGCGCTCGCGGCCAACGTTACCCACTGCGTGACCAAAGTGTTTGACCAGTACTTGAACTTCATATCACTGGAAGAGGACATGTTTGTGTTGAAACAACAGGACAAAGACCTCGTCTCCTACTACGCCATCAACAGGAGTGACGTGAAGGACACTGACATGGAGTTAGTGATCGACAACATAGTGGACAGTCTGTTCTCGGTGTTTGTGACGCTGGGAGTGGTTCCCATCATACGATCGCCCAAAGGAAACGCCGCCGAAATGGTGGCCGAAAAGCTGGACAAAAAGATACGCGAGAATCTGCGCGACGCCCGCAACAGTCTGTTCAACGGCGGCGATATGTTTGGCGCCAACGTTGCGCTCACTTTCCAACGGCCACAGCGTTGTGTTGATCGAGAAGCGGCGCGTCCGCGATGTGCCCGGCCTTAAGCTCCGTGTGGTTCGCGGCACTCGTGACTGCGCTCATGTGGTCAAGAAGTCCGGTAATATGTAGTCACTGCCGGTGATGTGCCTTGAATTGTATAAGTAGTTTGTGTTTTACTTGTAATTTATGATTAGTTAACTTTTTTAAATTGTCAATTTATTTAGCGTTTATTATAATTATTGTAATAATCATTAATAATAAAATAAAATAATCATTTATTTCGGAAACAAAATGTCAAATATTTTCTTTTATTTGCAAAATAACTAATAATTTACTTTCCAAAATCACAATTAGAAATATGTATGCAATCAATACAAATCTAAATACAATCTATACTTTTAAACACAAAATACAAGTTTTTTCTATACATTTAAAGTCATGCAACGATTCAATAAATTGTACGTTAAATTTCGTGACCATAAAGAGACACATAATTTCAAAAATAACATAAAACATAAAATAGTGATTTAAATATCAAAAACGTGTTGATTGGCCGAGAGATTCACATTTTAAATATGATTTATAAGCGTAACTCTACTCAAAAGTTTGAGTACAGTTTACTATCGGTGCGCCTCTCGGGTACACCGACGGCAACGATAAGTGCGAATCTGCTTATGGTTTGCGAATAAATATAAGTAATGCCAGTAATGAGAAACTCTTCGGCGAAAAAAATAATTAGATCTCAAACACAATTCAAATCGATTTAAAATCGACGAAAAAATAATTTAAAAAAACAATAATTAAATAGAAAAATCAAATGTTGGCCTCAATTCTCATCGTTAGCGTCCCCTTCGGCCCAAATATCCATCACTTGTTGGACACTCTCCTCGACAACCAATTCATTACCGCCAACGGCGACGACAGCCATCTCTTCCTCGATGTTGGGGTCGTCGGGCACGTCCTCACCGGAGTCGTCAGACCCGTCGTCGAGGGTCGAGGACTCGTCCGACACCTGCGCCGGACACTCAAAGTGGACGCAATGAAACACTTCGTTGGCGCTGTTGTAGACGCCGACGATGCGAATGAAGACCACTGGCCGGCGCTCGAAGCGCAACACTTGCCACGAGCGGCAAAACTCTTTGCGCTTGTCGGCCACCATTGACCAGTTCTGCTGATCCACCGACACCTCCACGTAGTAACTGTAGGAGCGTTTGTCTGTGTCCCACAGCAACAGTCGCATCGAGTCGATCATAAATGGCTGCGAGAGTTGCACAACGATCGCACCGCTGCCCAACTGATGGCACGTATACCCTGTATCCCAATCGTAGTTCTTTGAGTCGCCTAATGAATAGTGTTGTGGAAAATATAACATTTCATAAATTGTTTAAATTGTGCGCTTTTATACACTATATGTGTTGTGAATTCACTATAACAAGCATTTGAGAGCATAAATGTTTGAATAAATAAAAGCCAACAAACCATTGATGAGAGCATTTCTGGTACGACTGACCCCTTCGATGACGTGAGCGCTGTTGCGAATGGAGGCCACGTTATAACTGGGAACTGATGGACACAAGAGGGCACGAAGAATAAAAGTTTTACAAATTGTTATACAAATGAATGTGAAAATAACATTTTATGGCTAAAACCCATTAATATGAGGGTAAATATGGTGTTCACTGGAGTTGTTAAAAGCAAAGTATAGATAACATCTCCTTTAGTTGGAGAGAGAATTGAGTCTTAAAAAGCTTAAGAATTTCCATTCAAATCTTCCCTTCAATTCACATCTCTCTCTTTTTGGTTAATAGACTATTAAATTGTCAGTTGAATAGCGAGTGAAAGAATAGAGAGATGTGTTTAACATTGCTT